AGTGAGGGAAAACTGTGTAGATTACAGAAAATTGAACCAAGTAGCCATAAAGACCTGCCACCTACTCCTTCGTACTGCTGGCGTCCTCGCCTCGCTTGGAGGATCAAGGTATTTCACATGTTTGGACCTAAAAAGTGGCTATTGACTAGCTGCTATGAATCCTGATTCTATTGGCAAACCTGCTTTTACTTGTTTTCTAGGTTTTGTATTCCTTTTCTGTCCTCCCGTTTCGTCTGCGCAACGCCGTAGGATTATTTTCTGATCTTATGAACAAAGTTTTGGCAGGTACAACATGTGCATTTGCCTTTGCATTTGCATGTGCATTTGCAACATGTACAACATTTGCAGTGGCGCACTTGATGATCTAACTTCTAAAAAACATTCGAAGAACATCTTAGTCACATCGAAACAGTTATTAAATATTTACGCAGTGCAGGCTTCAACCTCAAAATGTCAACACGCGAGTTTCTGAAACAGGAAATTAAATATTTAGGTCATGTAAGTTGCCTAAGTGTGATCAACCCAGATCCTGGTGAAGCAGATGCCATTAGAGACCTGAATCATCCCTGCGATTTGAAAGGTTTTTGCTTGCTGCTTGGCATGTGCTCGTATTATCGTCACTTTATTCCAAATTTTGAGAAAATTGCAGAACCTCCCATGGAACTAACGAAGAAAAACAACCCCTTTTATTCGAATAAAGCATGTCAAAAAGCGTTTGAAAATCTTTGCAAAGCCCTCATTCCAACTCCTGTGCCAGCTTACTCAGACACCTCAAAGACATATAAACTTTACACTGATGCGTAAAACCACGCCACTGGTGCTGCTTTTGTGCAAGACGCAAAACAAGGTCAAAACGTGGTGCAGTATCTCTCTCCCAACAATCAAATGCTACACAACAACGAAAGCCTGTCATCGAAAAAGAAGCAACACCATTGCTCACGGCATTCAAAAGTTGAGATACTATCTTCTTGGCTCAATATTTACTGTCAGGACGGACCACAAACCATTAAACACCTTCTTACCAGCGAAATGAAAAAAGCAAGAATCCAACGCTGGGCCATCATTCTCGACGAGTATGGTTGCGATGTCCAGTACATTGCAGGCAAACAAAACGTTCTTGCCCGATGCCCTCTTACGCCTCGAACCACCATCAGACGTTAAGATTATAGACCCCGACCAGACACCTAGGGCGTTGAACTCCGAAGTGGCGAAACCCCCAGGAGAAGAGGTGCATCATTAGAAAAAACACTGCCCAGAATTTCTGTCAAACAATCCCGATTTTAAGAGTCTGCAGGAAAATGACACGGATACCATGATTCATAATATGCTCGCCGGATGTGCTGTACGGTGGCGAGATCTCAGGTGGTTGGATATGAACACGTGGGTCCGGGCTGGATCCTGGGCAGGGCTGACTGGCGGGCTGCACCCAGTCGCCCGATCAGGTGAAGCGGCCTAATGGTGGTGCTGCGGAAGGTGAGCAGGCACTGTCTTGTTCAAACCCTGAGGCAGTATTGGTTTGATGCACCTCGGCCGCATGTTGAGGCGACAAGGAGCGCTCTGGAATAGCAGCTGCGATAGTAGGCACTGCGACCACTGTTTGAACAGGAAGGGATGGTGTCCTTCGTGGAGTACGTATGAAGTCGTTGAGTTCGATCAATGCAGCTCTAATGCCCGACAGACGGAAGCGTTTGCATCATCTTCTTTAGAGAGGTGCTGTGCCGCTCGAGATCGATTAGTACATGGGGTGCCAGGGATCGACGAGAGCTAACTGGGCGGAGACCCGTGCCTCGAAGGTATATAACGTCGACAGGATGGGGCGCTGTAATAAGCCGCCTAGCTTTGGTAAGGGTTAGTGATCTTCTCATGTAAAGTAAGTCGTGCAATGCTTGTCGCACCCGGCCGCCGTCCCGCGCCGCGCTGCCCGGTCGCCGTGCCGCCCCGCACCACGCCCGGCCGCCGAGCCGCGTCGCGCCAGCACTTCTCACCGGCCGTTCGCGCACCGAGTGAGAACCCACCCGGACTGTCATCAGAAGAGGGCACGTACTCGGACACAGCCCTGCCGTTCAGGCTGTGCACTGACAATTAGTCTGCACTGAAGAGATCAAGGGTGCAAGCCTACAATGGAGTGTGTCCAGTTATTACAATTAACCACTTAATGTAGTAATTCTCATAAGCAAACACGCTTGACATTATGTCTCATTACCGTTGGTGCGTCGATTTGTATGTTAATGTGCTTCATGCGGCCTCATCACGATGGAAAAGGAACTATAACTTGTTGACGTTTTGCATTGATATGACACGAAGCTGACTCCACGGTGTCAATTGGTATGCACTCGATGCAGTCCGCTGTCAAGTGCAACAAGTGTCACCGTCTGACCAGGCAGTTAGACTGAAATTGAAGATAGAGCGAGTTTTACATCATAATGATGTCATTTAAAGGTGTGTAGTGTTTTATGTGAACTTCATGGACGTGTATCGAATGCGCAGTTGTCGTTAGTTGTCATAAGTGTGTCATTACCCATTACAACGTGCACTGATTTTATGCTGGCATTGAACAATGATAGCGACGTACATTTTAAACATTAAGTCAAAATTTCATCGCAGGAGGCTCGTACTGTGATCTTACAACGTAATACTTCTCAGCAGTAAATATCTCCAGAATTATATAAAGCTCCAGATGCCTACGGACGTCAGGTCTCTAGAACTCACAAGTCTCTAGAATAAAAATCCTAGGAGACATGTAAAAGTCTTGGTAAAGAGCGCTCCCACCACATGTCATCTGTTAAGTCGGAACCTGAACTAGATCTGCTTTCCGTAATGCTATTCGATGTCTTCTTCAAAAGTCGCATCCAGTGCCTCACCCCCTCCCAATTGCATCAGATAGTTCTGGGATCGCAAGGCGATACCCTGTTTCTTGACTGGTTTAGCCAACCATCCAACGACGCCGTACCTGCTTCTGATTTGCTAGCTATGACATCATTTCTGGACCCCACGGCCATGGATCATTCCCGACGCGCACAGTATATAAGCCGTACCATTAGTGCCCATGCAGGTCCATACTCTTCCTGGGCTTAAGGCGAGACATTTGTTGGTTGTGTGGGTGGACGTTGTGATGTGAGTGTTAGTGCGTGTGACTAGAAACAGAAGCTGTGTTTCACGAGATCTCTCTTCGACGGACGCGCGGGGCATACTGGCACGAGCAAGGCATACACTAGTATAAGTATCACGCCAGCAGTCAGAAATCTGTCACACGGGTATTTTGGATGTTAGAGCCTTTGGGTTTGTCTCGAGCACGACATATACATCGAGTGTGGCCTATTTTTGTGTAAATGGCGCCAATGGGAAGCCCATCACTCGTTCGTTGATAGCGTGAACGTGCATGATATTGCTTGTTTTGCTATCCATTTCGAGGTACATGCCCTCGATTTTGCGAACCTTTTGGCAGGTATGGATGCGAATTCTGTTTTGAAACTGATGCCTGTTTTCTGGTCCTGTCTAACTTAGAGCTTAGCTCTTCAAGCAACACCCCCAATTTTTAAACTTGTCAAAACCACGTACGGTGTGGCCTCTGTCGATATCCATGGGTTCCTCAGTGGGGGTATGCCTCCTCCACACATTTCACCAACCCCTTTTTTGGGTCACCAATCCCTTTTTATTGGGGTTGGGGTTGGGGTATTTAAACCCCTCATTTGGCCACCAACCCCTTTTTACATCATCGGTAAGTACGGACACAGGACGGATTTTGTTGACTTTTGCACAATGTGCAAGGGAATGCACAGTAGTAAAGTGGTGCTATGGCGGGCTCTGTTATGAACTTCGGCATCGGATATCTTTTGTGTTGTTCTGGCAGCCCTACCCTTTGCTTGCAATACAACAAGTTGAATCCTCCATTTTTGACTTTTCGCGCAACGACGAACTGAGTGAGACATTCAATAATGTATTTCCATATCTAACTTGATTTGACCCTTTGTAAAGCTCTGGAAGTTTAACTCTAAGCGCTTGTTAAAATCTGCCCAGCTCGTTATTTGAAGAGTCATTGACCTAGCTGGATACGAGGCTTTAGCGAAATCGTAGTAGTCGTCGAGTTCTGCTGAAGGTGAATTCCAAACCAACTTTGCGGACATGTGATACTGGATGTTTTAACCTTCAGGATAGCGTTGGCTCTTCGCGTGACCCAAGGCGCAATCATGTTCGGATTCCACAGGACTCAGTTACGCCATGCAGACGATTTTTGGTTCAGCCAATCTCAGACTAAGGCGAAGAGTCTACTAGCCGCCTGAGGTTAGATACAGATGAAGCTAACACACGCAATACATGACGTGGACGGAGGCTCGCAAATAATACCACATATAATCATTTTGGTTTGTTGTAATCTATTTGGTTCGGTTATTACGATATGTTGAGTCTCGCGCGATGAGTGTGACTCGCGCTGATGAGTGTCACCACCAACCCACCCGCCCAGAGGAGGTCCTGGCCAAATTGCAGGAAACTATGCAATACGGTAGTATAAAATTTCTGCAGGCGTGTTCCTACAGTGGTCTTGATTTGATTCGTGTGTACTTTTGTGTTTTGAGCAATGCCGAGGTTATACCGTTTCGCAAATTCAAAAGTGCCGTGCCGCCGCCCGTTGTCGGTGGACTCCTACGCTGCCTTGGGTCGCGAACGGTGCCAGTAGAACGCTGGGCTGTCTGTTCTAATACATCACTCACACATACAAGTGCAGGGTATACAAGATTACATAATTTTAGGTATGAAACGATAAGCATTCGATGCAACAATACCTGTCACACAACGTTGTGCAACAGAAATGCTGAATACACGATTTCGGTGTCAAAACACCCGCATAGAATGACATAGAAAATACCAAAAATATGAGCGCGATTGTATGTCATGCGAGGTAGAAATAACAAGGGAGCCTTTGAGCTAGGATTTTCAGCTGCCGCTGGCCCCAACAGAGCTAACACGTCGAGGGTTGACAAGTGATGCCACAAAATGCTTACCTTTTCAAGTCCGAAAAGAAAATCTCAATGTTCTTCGCGAAGATCGAGTAGTCGGCTCCCAGGGCTGTGCTTGTTCCCCGGCATTTGTCGGCAAAAGTGTGGAACAGGTTGTCTCCATCAATAACCAGGTCACAGTGACGTAATCGTTCTTCATGGAAAAGGCGCCTTCGCAGCACAAATGACGTCAGACCGCGGATGCCCATCCTGCGTCTGCAACGAGGCGTAACAGTTGGCACTTGTACATCGTGTTACGCTCTTGATATCCAAGCAGGCGAGACTTGCATCACATGTGGGTAGCGGAGAGAGCGACATAGTGTGTTTGTGATGGTGGGGCTGGAAGCAAGTGTGTGGGTGGGGGACTGTCTGACTAAGTGAGCAGGCGAGTGATGGAATGAGTGACTGGCTGACTGAGTTAGCGGGTGAGTGATGGAATGAGTGACTGGCTGACCGAGTGAGCGGGTGAGTGATGGAATGAGTGACTGGCTGACTGAGTGAGCGGTTGAGTGACGGAATGAGTGACTGGCTGACTAAGTGAGCGGGTGAGTGATGGAATGAGTGACTGGCTGACTGAGTGAGTGAGAGCAAGAAATATAGGTGAATTATGTAACGAATAAATATACGACAAATGAGAACATGATCTGTTTTTATCTATCCAAGTGCCAAAACCATTGTCAATGCGTATAGAGTATCTCCACATTTCTACGTAGATAAACCATAATAGGTGGTTGGGTGGGTGCGTGGGTCAGTGAGTGAGGGAACGAGTGACTGGCTGACTGAGTGAGAGCAAGAAAGATAGGTAAATTATATAACGAATAAAATATACGACAAATGAGTATATGATTGAGTACATGGCGATTTGTATCCATCCAAGTGTCAAAACCATTGTCAGTACGTGTAGAGCACTTCCACATTTCTACGTAAACCATAGTGTGTGTGGGGGGGGGAGAAACTCTTTCTCTCAAGACATCCTTCTCGCAAATCAAGGGAAAGCCTGCAAGTTCGTACTTTATTCAAAAATCATATGCAGGAACAAAACATTTCGCGCGGCAAGTAGCATAACACACTGCAACACACAGCGAGCGACTAAGTTTAAATTAGTTCAGGCATATCTTGGTAAGTTTATCCTTGTTCTGGCGCGCTTCATGCATAATAGATGGGTCATTATAGTTACTGGCACCCGATTCACGTTACACAACGCTGGGCGCAGTGCCAGAGACCTCCTCGGTGGTCTAGAGGAAATATGCTGAGCTTGCAATCCAGCGACGCTGGCTACGAGTCCAAGAGCGGGCGTATTGTTTGGCCCGACTGAAATGGAAAGGTCAGCTGGCAACTGGCCAATGAGGGTCGACCAGGCCCGGGGCGGCCGTGGCGTAGCATTGCGCGGCACGTAAAGCCCTCCGCAGTCCTGTCTGGCGCAGGGACGGAGGTTAAGTTATCTGTTGAGCTGGACGGACGAATTGGGTGATGGGTTCAGGGTGCTTAGCAGGGCCAAAGCCCAAAGGCGCTCCAAAGTCACCCATACAAACCATTTGGAATACATTTATATAAGAGGAGCGTTAGCATTGACAAAGGACCTGTGCGGAAGGGACTGAGATGTACCAACCGCATTGAGATTTGAGGACTGTTCATCACGCAGGAAGAGTAGTTCCAAAAAGCTGTAGCTGATGCACCCAAGAAGCGAAAGGCAGTCGGTTAATCAAGATTGTATTCGGCGAATCGAAACGGCAGGTCTTTTAAAGACAAATTCTGGTTGTTTCGAACCAGTAAATGATTACAGTCAGTGGAGCGCTCTGGAGAGGGCTGAGAAAGGTAAAAGTGGCTATGCTTCTGTTTACATTCACAAAAAAAACTCATTTTGTCCTCAAATTTACCCTGCCTTTTTAAAGTAAGGCGTAAGATAAAGAGGGTAGGGTAGGTATAGATATTAAGTGAATTGGATAGCCTGAAACCTCTCGTGGTCAGAAAAACTTCATCTCTTCACCCCAAGAAATCAGAGCCTCTTTTTCACCGCTGAATACATGGATTTGGTAAACATTGTTACTAATGTTTCAATAAATAACGTAGGATATGGCAAAGCAACCTACTTCCATTAAAAACATCATATCGTGGACTGAGACGCGTAATCTGACCCACCAAGTATGGATCTTCCGCACTCGCCGTAGATGTGATGGCCATTTCATATGCATCACGCATCGCGCACAAAACATGAGCCTTGAGACGTGAGCAAATAAAGCCCTTTTTAAATCTGTATATGCACACCATGTTCCGCCTGCACTCCATGAAGAAGTCACAGAGAAAATATATTATGAGGTTCTTCAGAAAGACAGATATGAAGAACGGACATGAAATGAAGCGTTGTCAATCAAGCAATTCGATGCTTGATGTGTGTGTAATGCCCGAGTTTATGCATCTTGTACTTGCGGTGCCAGGAGCACTTACGAGCCAGGACACCCCTCTAGCGACGGCCGACCCAATCATCCTCCCCCTGCGCACCCCGAACCGTCCCAACCTCAACGCTCGGTCACATGGCCGACCGCCGCCGGCCACGGGCGGATGCCTGCTGATCCAAAGTCCGGCCGCGGCCGAACGCGGCAGGCCCTGCGCGCCAGACACACCTCCAGCCTCACACTCTTCTCCCCTGTACGTTGGAGACAGCCGAGCGGTACAACAAGAATACGTACGTTACACTCGGTCCCTACAATAATCAGTGACTGCAGTGACTGACGGATCGCAGTTGGACAAAGCTTAGCACAAGGCAGTGTGTCTAGTACGGATTTGCGTAACGTACTTCTGATAGAGCCAGTATTCAAGAAACACTTTCACTCGATATCTCAAATCGCAGCCAAAAAAGTCCAGCCATAAGCTGTTCAGTGCATTAGCGAGGAGCATTATTTACATAGATAAGACAGCGGTATTAGCCTTATTCCTCGGAAGAAAACCAGGAGAATGGATATATAATTGGGTTGGTATTTCGGTAACATGACTTTATCGAAAACATTAGCTGAAGATAAGACAGTAGTATTACCCTTATTCCTCTGAGAAAAACCAGGAGAATAAAGATATAGTCGGGTTGGTACTTCGGCAACATGCCTCTGCTATTGTTTCGATAAAGGCATGTTGCCGAAATATCAACCCACCTATATCTCCGTTCTCCTGGTTTTTTCTCAGAGGAATAAGGCTAATACTAATGTCTTATCAAAGTCAAATCATCATTCAGTGGCAAGGTGTGGGACACACACGTCTCATTACAGCCCTCACTAGCAGAGGAAAGGCTACAATTAGCCGGGCTGGACACGTTCAGAGACCCATTCGAGGTGCCTGGTTGCTGCGGGGATCCTGAAACCCGGGTCCGGTGCCGGGATCCCGCCCTGGTTTCCCGACCTGTAGGGATACACAGACGCCACATGTGTGACACGGCTGCACACAAAGCTGTAACGCTGCGCGTGAAGCGTTACAAAGCAGGCTCTGTTTCGGCCGCGCCAGGCCGCGGCCAGATGACCGACAAATCCGCAGACACAGCAAGCACACCGAGAATGTCCCTAGCGCTTCACGCGTCTAGATGGCTTGTCAGGCAGGGCAAGCCCCGAGCTAACCCGCGGCCGGTCATCTCGCACATCCCTCCCCAGATCACAACTGCGAGGCAAAATATGATCCAGCACTAACGGTGTCACAGCACCAGTCTCTACCTGCCCAAAAGTTGCCGCAGCGGACTCATCTGGCCTGACGGACGCTGCGCGCCTCTCCTCGGCCCTCCGAACACTACGCGTTTTTTCAACAGCACCCATACAAGGCGAAATTCTCTCAGAAATTATTTCCGATTGGTACGGCTCCGGTAGCTCCGGTGGTCGGCTCCGCACGGGGTCATCCTCATGCCCAGGAAAGGCCTGGCTCACAAGATTTTTAAACTTAAATTACGAATGAATCCAGCGACTGACGGGGGCCGAAACGCAGCTCGCGCAAACGCGTGTGGGCATCCAGGGCATTCGGTGCTGCGAACAGGTCACACAGACCGCTGATAGCCAGGCCATAAGCGGTCCGCTGGGCCACTGACAGAGAGTCGAAGGCGCCCTTGGCCATGCCAGACAGGCCGAGTGGTAGGAAGCGTAACTTAAATTTATCATCCCAGACATACATTGATGCAAAGGTCTCGAAATCAGCAGCGAATCGGCTCAAGAAGGACCCTTCCCCCGTGAACCTTGGGGCCGACATGGTCAGCCCGTCGGGAATTTGAGACGGCCCAGACATCCCATCGTGTTGTTAACCCCCTTCCGCGAGCCCTCTTTCAGCCCCGGAAGAAGCGTTACTGCGCGTGTCTTCGATATTTCTCATGTTGCCAATTTCCTAATCCTCTAAATAAAAACACACACCGTTTGCAAAGCAGACAACACAAATCAGTCCACTACTTTACCAAAAAAGCATGACCAAAGACACCGCAAAATTAGCTTATCTCTGCTCGAAGATACACAGGGTCAGCCGGAACCAGGAGTGCCGAGCCCCCAGTCCACCAGCTGCCGCCCCAAAAATGCGAGAGCCGGTGTCCCGAACCACCGCTGGCCGAGCTGGCGTCACCAAACACCAGCAACAGACGAGCACGCATCACCAGACGCCAGCAGCAGACGAGCCGCAGAGATCTCCGCCAGCAGCTCCCTCCCATCTTCGGGCGAGCAGCGCCGCCGGCCAAAGCGTTCAGCTCGTCGCAGCAGACGGCTTGACTAGGAGACCGCAAGCGCAGAACAGGGCACCGCAAACTGAGTCCGCGAAACCAGGAGCAACGGCTGCCTTCAACCCAACATCAGCAGAACGAGCCGAAGCCAGCCAGCGCGCAAAATGTCTTCAAGTCTTCAGCAGAGAAGACGAGGTGACCCGCAGCATCGACGAGCAGCGCAGCGCGCCATGCTGACCGCGGGACGCCAACAGCCGTCGGGGAACAAAAGGAACGGCACCCCGGGATACGCCACACCAGTCGTCAGGCGCGGAGTCCGTACCCGCCGCCACCATTTCAATGCCTCAGTTTATGCATCCTGTACTTGCGATGCAGCGCGAGCCAGGACACTCCTCTAGCGACGGTCGCCCCAATCATTCTGCCCTGCGCAACCCGAACCGTCCCAAACTCAACGCTCGGTCGCATGACCCACCGCCGCCGGCCACGGGTGGACGCCTGCTGACCCAAAGTCAGGCCAAAAGCGCATTTCTGTTGTCGCCAAGAGCGC